AAAAAAAAAAAAAAAAAGACTAATCAAAGTTCAAATTTACCAATGATTTACGTGACTTTCTCCCAGAAGCAGCAGTTTTCCCGATATAATCAATTCCATTGAGCCAATGTTGGTGAAATCCAACAACAACCATTTCAGCCCGTGAAAAGAATTGATGACCAACATCAATACCTGTATCACCAAATTCATCAGAACTTAAATCAGGTATTTCTTTCTAATATATATTAAGCCAATACTACAATTCTTTTGCTATCCAGTAAACTTATTTTTTTTAATTTCAAAATAAGATGTGTAGATAATACTAATCTTTATAACTACAGCTAAGATCAGACATTTATTTTGTATTGTAAACTAAATAAAAAGATAATTAAATGATACAAAAGGCAGAGATTCACTTCATAGTACAGAACCCTGAGCTTGAGCATTTCTTTTGGGATAAGAGAAGAGCGGTAAAATTTACTGTTTCTCCAAAAACATCGCCAACCCACATAAGAAAATGAATGTCATTTATATAATAATAAATACTTTCTTCTATTTACCCAAATACACATATTACATCGAGAAACTTTATCTTGCATTTCAAAATGTTTTACGAACTTGGTCATAGTTTCTTCAGTGATATTTTGGCAACCGACATTTTCAAAACTTGCGGTTGAAGGAAGAATATATTAGCAAAGAAGTCTAACATTTTCAAAACCACCAACCTGGAATGGAGCCAAATCTCTTATCGGGATACAAAGTAGCGCCAGTCTTCATCATCTGCCATTTCAATAACCAAAAAATGAAACATCCATGAATGAATAAATGGAAGACCAATAAACAACAACTACAAGCATTGCAACACAATAATAATCTTTGACAAAAGCATATCAGACATGATAATATCAGACAATCACATATGTCTTAGAGTCACTAATGACTAATCAAAACTGAAATTTACTTTTATATATGAGTAATTATTACCCATTGCAACGTTGGTGAATATCTCAAAAACAAAATAAATGAAACTCTAAGAATGTATTTGTTTACACAAAATAAAAGAAACTCTACGAGGATGCTTCGATACAAAAGTTCTCAAATAAATCCATACTATTTTAGATCAACCACTTTTTGGAACTCAGCTTTAACTCCGCCTCACTATCATCAATATTATCATTATAAATAATATCAATCAATTACACACCTCATCAACTTTGATTTACTATTTATCAACTCACATAATCTTAATTAACATAACTTCTCATCATCTCTCTTATACTTTTACGTCAAATCAAGTTTAGTTACTTTATATTAAATATTATTTTAATTTATTCACTAACAACTAATTATAGCACTTTTTTTTCAAACTTAATCAAACAAAACTCAAAATTCTTATATCCAAGCATCCCCTAAGAGTGTGTTTGTTTACAAATGTAATCAAAATAATAATAATAATAATAATAATAATAATAATAATAATAATAATAATAATAATAATAATAATAACTCAAAATCTAACTAACTTTAATTCAACCCCACTATACTCAATATTATCAATATAATTAAATAATATCAATCAACCTTTGTTAAGCATCTCGTCAACCTTTAATTCATTATTTATTCATTCACATATTTTAAATATGTTTCACTTTAAATCATCTATCTACTACTTTTTACATCAAATCAATTTTAATCATTTTATTTTAAATATTATTTTAATACAAACTTAAAATCTCACTACCAACTAAACATACAATTTTTCTGCCAAATACACAATGGTTAACCAAAAACGAACTATCACATATCAATATATTTCTAAACAAACAAGCCAAGAACATTCTGAACTCAAACCTTTGCAAAGAACTATGAACATTTTAGTTATAATTTCGGTCACTGCACAAGATTACCTCTTGTATAACATGAACAGAAACGGTAATACTCTAAATACACACCTCCGTTATAGCTTTCAAATCAGGTCGCTTGGAAGGCTTTTTATAGTCTTCAGATGAAGACACTTTCTGCACATGTTTACAATAAAAGTTAGGAACTTCTTAGTCGAATCTACACTAAAAAATAAGTGAAAACGAACATAATAAAAAACACAAATAGCAAACACTACGAGGCTAGATTTCTTTTCGGCATTTATTAAGTTTCACATAGATTCTACACTGATGAATAGTGACTTGGATAATGTGAAATACTCATTTCAACGAATTTGTTGTGGGAAAACAAAACGACGCAGTGAACAACAAACCTTTGATTTTGTGTCCTTTGTTGTGACCTTCTTATCAGCTTCCAGCCTCGCGCATCGGTTCTCTTCTTCCTGCAAATTTAGGGTGGCAAGTCACAAAGGTCATCAGTTTTGTACCAATAGGATACATTAGAACACACAGGTGCACAAACACACACTCACGTTCATTTGGAAGATTTTTCATTGACAAGTTACCCTCAAGGCCAAATCCGCATTTCATGTTAACAAGTACATTACATTTGAAAAATGCAAAAGATAAACAAAAGACAAAGCAAAATAATAAACAAGAAAAAGAAATTACTACCTGAATAAAATGGAGGTAGTGCTTGTTGAAAGCACGAAGAGTATCTATCACCTCGGCATGAACATTCTTCGGAACAGCGGCGACACCATCACAGCCAACGGCCAGCACCTCCAGTGACTCATGAACAGCCTTCTGAACATCGGCCGCACCATCACAGCCATCCGCTAGCATTTCCGGTGCCTTGCTATCCCCAATGAACTCAGGAAGCTTCTCATCGGCCAGCACCTCCGGTGACTCATGAACAGTCTTCTGAACATCGGCCGCCGCATCACAGCCATCGGTGACTTCTGGTGCCTTGCTATCCCCAATGAACTCACGAAGCTTCTGGGTCGTTTTCTTCTTACCCGTACCAACCATTTTGCTGACGGACGCTGGTGAATCTGCTTTCCTTTTCAGAGTGTGATTCGATTTCTCGCTCGTCCCCTGTTTCTTCAATCTCGCGCTAGTCCTTCGCATAGGGTAAGCGTCAATTGGAATATGAGGATCGGACTCGTCGTATAAGACCACCATTAAAGAAGCTTGGGAAGTTGGTGGAACGTGGGAAGCTGAAAGGATTGTTCAAATTTTGAAATGTGGAGAGAGATTGTTGAAGCTTTGGAAGATGATGGGACGTGGGAAGCTGAAAAGACCCGTTCAAATTTTGAATTTGTGAAGAGAATGTTGTTCCCTCTGTCTCCCACTAAATGGGCGGGATCCCGAATTGGATATAAATTTCTAAAAGAATAGCAACATGTATTATTATATTATGAGATGAGATTAGAAATGATATCGGTACAATAATATTGTACATAGAGGTGTACATAATACTTACAAGTCTTACCAAAAAGGAAAAAGCAAGTGAATCCCACTTGATGTGAGTGTTATGTACGTTTCTGTGTACATTTATTGTTTTTATAGCATTTTTCTTATAGCATTTGCATACATATATTTTTAGAAAAGTCTTGCACATACTACTATTATTTAATTCAATTCTCCTTAAAAGAATAAAAATCATTTATTTTTCATTGAAGGCCAATATTTTGAAATTAATAAAAATCATTTTTTTAATGTAAATAAAATAGTATGTTATTTATTGTTTCTCAATTATTAAATTATTTTGATTAGGATAAATAAATTTATTTTAATTATTGAAAAATATAAGTTTTAATATTATACATATTATTCACATAGATTTTTAAATATATGATAAAATTTACCAATTTTTTTATTTTATTTTTTTTGTGAACCACATTGTATTCAAAATGAATTTCTGAATAAAAATTTTAAAATGACACTTATTTTGAAATAAATATAATGTAATTTATTATAGTTATGTATACTGTACGAGTTGTGTACTAATTTTAAGTAGACATATCTTATTTAATTTTGCACAATTTAAATTTTACATAATATTTTAAATAAATTAATATAAGAGACATATTACATATTATTTCATATTTTTATTTTATAAATGTTAAAAAATAATTAAATAGTGTAGAAAGAGTGAGAAAAAATAATTAAAAAGTGTGTAGAATGGGAGAGAAAAAATAATAAAAAATTCATAGTGGAGAGAAAAAATAATAAAAAATAAAAAAAGTTGAATTGTTAGTGGGATGATGTAATATTAGATTTTCTTTTTGAATTATTTTAATAAGAGGTATTTAAGTGAAAAAATATTAGAAGGGTAGGTAGTGATTTGGAAGAAGAAAAAAAGTAAGGACTGACAAGGAAGTTAGAAAAGAGAGTAGGGATTTTAAAAGAAGCCTCCCTTTTTTTATGTCGATAAGTCTATTTTTTTGTTCTTTTCTTCAAAAAAATACTAGTACGAATCATATGCGATACATGAGTAAAAAATATTTATTAATATTTATATATCAAAAATACTCATTTAAAAATACTTGTAAGTTAAAAATATGAAATCAATTATGTAATATAATTTACCTATATTAATTTGTTGAAAATATTATACATGAAATTTAAATTGTGTAAAATTACATAAAATGTGTCTATTTAAAGTTAATACACGACCCTTACGGTGCAAGTAACATATAATAAATTACATTATCTTAATTTCAAAATAGGTATCATTTTAAATTTTTTATTCATAAACTCGATTGACTACAGTGTAATTCAAGTAAATACAAAACATTATATATACATACCAAATAGTTTTATATGTTCCACGGACATTTACAAAGAAGTATCAACCATAGGAATATCTAAAATTTAGCTACAGTGGCTTCGTTTAAACTGTAATTTTCAAAAATATTCGTCCTGTTTTTTATCTCATTTTCCGTCTCAACGAAATATAATTAAAAATAGCCAGGACTGCCTTCCTTGGGTATTAATCCGGGAAGATCATGATAAACAATTCCTTGTGCTCAAAAGGTATATACTCCTCGACGTGAAGACGCAAGTTCTTTATCAAGTTTAACTCCAAATGAGGTAAAGGAAAATATACAATTAAAAGGACGAATATTTTATCGAAAATTCGTATTTTCTTGCACTAAAATCGAGTAAAATGTTTAGCAATATGAAAAAAACATAAAGATATTTCATTTGTTACCATATGCAGGTATATTAAATCAATATATATTATACCAAATAATTCGATTTCATACTTTATCGATAAAATATAAAAAAATATATTCAATTTTACTACAAAATTATTGTCCAGCATACAAAACAAAATTTAGACCCACATTTTTAATAGATAAAAAAATAACCCAAAAAGATAGTTGTTAAAAATAATTAAATAGAAATGCCATTAACATAATTATTTTATAACATTTATATTATAAAAATATAATTGTTGTCTTTGTTAGCCACAAATTTTGGAAAAAGAGTCAACTAACTCATCCACAAATTTTGACAAAAGTGACAGCCCCCATTATTGAAAATGGCAGCATATGGGGTTGGTGTGATGTTGATCAGTACACGTTTGTGGAAAAATTAGTGCACTTTGCCCTGTATAAATTGAGGGAGATTCTGATTGATCAGACACACAGCAAAATACACACAACAACCAAAAATACAGAGAAGAAAGAAAAGAGAGTGAGCTAGAAAAAGAATTTTAGCTATTGTGTGTATTTTTGAGTTGCAAGTTGTGAGTGAGTTTACCAGTGTTTTGTAAACACGAGTGTATTTCTTTTTTCCAATAAAATATCTGCAGTAGTCCGGAGACGTAGGCATTATTGGCCGAACTCCGTTATCAATTTGGTGTGTCTAATTTTTTTTATTTCACTTTTATAGATCCGACTTCATGGAAATTTCAGCGTATTTTTCCCAACAACTGGTATCAGAGCCAGGTTGTTAATTCTGTAATTTTTTTTGTGTGTGTTACTATTCCGTAAATAGTGAAAAACGAGAATAG